GATATTTGCAATAACTTCAGAAATGGAGGAACTAGTTGCCTTCCATCTCTCTGTCGGGGGTTTGGTAAAACTCCAGTATTTCTGCCTGAAAGTTGTTGCTCTGATACCCGTCTCCGCAGCAAGCACTATGTCTGAGAGTAGCGTGGTCCTGAGTGAACGTAATAATCCACCATGCTTACCATCATTTTTACTGAGAGAAGTTATTTAGGGCTAAAGAGCATTTTCCAGATTTGGTTTTGAATAATGAGTTGTTACATCTTAGATTCATTTCACTCCTTTATTATACTGCATGATACCAGGGAGTTATTATAAAACAGAATAAGAAAAATGAGGAGGCTAAGAATACTTTTGACCTTGTTAAATCAGTCAGTTATAAAGAAAAAAGATGAATGAATATTTAAAACAAACCAGAGATAAAAGAACTAATATTCAAATAAGGTATTGGATAGCAGTATATTTAAAGAAGTTACGGCTCATATAGGCATACAGGTACCACCTTTCTAATGCAAACACCTGTCTGAAATAAAGAAAAGCCACAAAATTTATTAAATAGTATGACTCTATACACCTTCTACACTTCCAGCACCTGGGGCATGGGTTTTGCCCTTCTGTATACAGCCTTCATCTGATCTGTTTTCTCCTTCAAAATTAGCTGATCATCTAGAACATTCCTGTGGGCAGAAAAGAAATTGTATTTTTAGGTGGTCTGTGTGCTCCTTTTTATTGTAAAATAGGAATCAATCATCTGTTTTACACCTTTTAACTGAATACACAGTTTGGAAACTAGTGAGAGAAAAACAAGTTCTTACTCTTACATCTGAAACAGGTTGCATTAAGTCCAGCCACATACTGGCTTTCCATCTACTCCTGTGTAACAGACAGAGCTTTTTCAGAAAGGTATCAAAGAAAAAAGGTACCTACTGCAGAAAATTCAGTCACAGCCCAGTATCAGAGATTTCCCATTGAAAAATGAAAGAATTGCAAGGAGGAACCAAACAACTTAGAAAATTGAGAGTTGCCTTTCCTTTTTTGAAGCGACTTGCAGGAGGGTAGGGAAAAGACCGGTATGTATCATGGTATTCAATTCTGTCACAGTCATTTTTAAGCAGTAAAATATGACTAAGAACGGTTTATGTGACACGGGCTGATAGACAAGCCTGTGAGAGAGACTGTTGTTATTCCTATATAAAAAGAGGAAAAAGAAAATAAGTGAAAATCCGTGTATCTTTACATCCATATAGTGTTCCTTCTGAAAACTTCTTTTATTAATTTATCATTTTGCTTCTCTTCCTAAATGTGAAATCAGACGTGTGTGCCTATGTGTTTTTAAAAAAAAATTTCAAGCCAGAGCTTTATCTAGTTTTCATCTCTTTATCAAAAAAAAATTGTGACTATTTTCTGCTAGTTTTATTGTCAAACAAGAACTGACAGATGATTCATTTTTCTAATCCCACTGGGTTTTGGGTTTTTTCCCCTCTTCAGGCACTGGAAAAACACTGCAGAGTAGATGGCGGCTATTCTGGCATTAGAGATGTTTATAACAATCATGAAAGCCATGATGATGTGCAGCAAAGTTTCTTCCTTTCAGAGACACTCAAGTAAGTTAAGAAAGTTGGTTTTCACTAATACGAAGTAGTTCTATGGATCATCTCTACAGATAAGTATTTATCATTAGTACTCTTGACACTCACATAACAAAATCTGACTGAAATAGTAGAACTTTTCTTAGGTGGCGGGAAGCCAAATTACTTTTTTTTTTTTTTCTCCTTTTTTATCAATAAACTAAATTTTATTGCTTCTGGAAATTATCTTTGCTTCTGATAAAGGTACTTGATAGTCTTTGTTCAGAAATTACATCTCCTAGTTTTGATAGGATCTAATTATATATGCCAACACTGCTGAAACAAATTGACTAGGCAGAGGACTTACTAGGCTTGTACTGCATGCTGTTGGTTTTTAAAACTACAGAAAAAGAAAAAAGTCAACCTGTGAGGTAAGCTCACGGGGCCTGCTAACAGAGAAAAACAAAAGCTTTCACTGTCTATAACCATCTCCTAAGCTTTTAATGAAACAAAGGATGTTTTGTCTTGGTCTCCTCACTTTTTGGTTTTTGCTGTGCAAGAGAATGTTGCAAAGACCAGAAAGAAGCGATCATGCCATTTCAACAGACGGTGTAATACTTGCGTAAATGAACTATTGTAAATACATTCATCTACACAGCGGCATTTTTTGAGATAGTGCCCTCCCTCTACTATACCTTTCAAATCAGCCTATATCAGAATTAGACTTCCGTCCCTAAGCAGACTTCAATAGTTGTGCTACAGTAGTTACTACCTTGTATCACAACAACAAGTAAAATGTTGGATTCGTTTATTGGTTCCTGCTGGGTTTAATAGACCCTGCCTTAGTAAATGGATGCCCAAGCTACTGGTCTAGTGCTAGTTTTCTTCTTTAAAAATCCTAAGCCAGGGGTTGTTCTCAGAAGCAAGACAGGATTGGACTACAGTATTTTCATTCCCACACCTTGATGTAGGAGGACATTCAGGAGCAAAAGAATTACTATGGTTGTGTATTATCAAAACAACAGGTAATAACATTTCTGAGGATGAAATGGAGGTAAAATGAACTGATATTTAACCTCGATAGCCTAAACTTCTTTGTCCTCTGTCAGGATAGAGGCGTTCTTTCGTTGGTCTCCGGTTGCTATTGCCCTTGAGTCCAATTGGAGTTGAATGGCCCCGAAGTTTTGTGCTAATCATTGTGATCCTGGGGCTTAACTGGTGTTTTGTGCTTGCTCAGCTGTTCCCATTGATACATTCATCTGGGGGAATCCGGTATTTACGTTTTCCTGAGAACTACTGTAGCTTCACTTCCCTGATGTGGTCACATTTCCTGCCTATTTTCTTGCCAGGTACTTGTATTTGCTGTTTTCTGAAGATGACCTTCTTCCCTTTGAACACTGGGTCTTCAACACAGAGGCTCATCCTCTCCCTGTTCTTCGCAAAGACGATGGGCATAAAGAAGAAAACCAGAAATAGATGAAGATTAAGTTATACTTTGTTTCATTCCTTATGTTTCTTTCCAGGACTTGGGCACATGATTTGGTTTTAAATTCCTGAGGTAAATTTTTAAATCAAGCCTTTTGCAGTCTGTTTTCTTTAACAGTAAATATTTATGAATGGACCCCAACTGATTATGATAAAAATTCCTTCCTCTTATCCAGCTGAACCACTTCTTAGACGAGAAACAGGACATCTCTCCAGATTCTGTTAGGCTGCAGTGTCATCTTGGCTAAAAAGAACAGAGGGTCTGCATGTTACTTGTTTCCTGTTATGCTTTTAATTTGACTGCAAAATTCTTTTCTCCTCTGTGAGGAGATGTCTGCTTTAAGCTGTAATATTTTGCCATGTTGCAAAAAGCCATATTGAATTAAGTATAAAGAGCTTTTTTCTTTTTTTTTGTTCTATGTTAATTTGTTTTGTGTGCCATCCAAGACAAATCTTGTGACTGTGACAGCCTCTTCTTATGCGGGTCTATCATTACTTGGTAAAGTATCTGATGTGTTTCATTGTCAACAAAGTCTACATAGGAATATTTCATCTCATGCAGATACAACTCAGAAACTGCAGTATATGTTGAAATTAGTCTAAACTTAGTTTTTATAAATTTAGCACACTAGTTTAGCAGACCTTAGTTTTTCAGGTTTTGATTAGAATATTGTAATAGAATAAATTGTTTCCTCCCTTTTCTAAGTGGTGTTATTCTCCTGTCTTTAGTCAGGGTAATGCAGAGTAAAATAAGATAGTCATTTCATACTAAGACAGGGAGTCTTACCTTCTTCATATATTTAGTCCAGTAGCTTTCATTTGGTTGGTTGGTAAAAAGACAAAAAAATACTCAATGACATTTTCCTGGAAGCTGAGAATTATACCAGAGACAAAATTTGTTTGGTTTTCTGGGACTTTCTCAAACATTCAGATAGGTTCAGACCTGACACCAGACTTGATTGTTTATTGTCACAAAGCAATTTAGTGTATCTACATGAATAAAGTCAGGTGTCCGGTTGCCTTGAAGAAAACCTGTCTCCTTAAAAGAAGATAATCATTCAGAAAGGAAATTATCCAGTGCACAACTAAAACTTTCCGAAAGCACCAAGTCTGTCTTCTCTAAGTGACAGAAATGCAGTGTGCATTGTTCCTGAGATTAGAGGCCTGGCTCACTAAGAAAGGTAACAGCTTTGCCAAAAAGCATTTTACTTTGTAGCATCACCAAAGGGAAAAAAACAGGCATGATTAATTCCTGTTTCTGCTTAAGCGTAGTTTCGAGTGGTGTAGATGACTCTTCAGTCTCCCTACGTTTTCATTTAATAACAGGATGACGTGGTATATTTTGAGTAGGGTATAACACCTGGTGTCCCATGCTGAGAAAGTACATTATTCACTGATTTGAAGGCAGCAAAACAAAGATGGTTGTCAACAGTAATCTTCTTTCAAGGTATTTAGTAAGACAGCTCACATGTCCAGTGTAGCTCATCACAGCTGAGGAAGCACCTGCGTTTGGGCATTACAGAGTATGTTTGTTTCTGTACCGACAGAGGTCTGCAATGTAGTTTTTCTTAGGTGGAAGCCAAGAGCAAAGATAACAGATTACATTTTTAGATAGCTGGTGGCTGGAGGCTGACACATAAACTTGACCCTCAGGAGTTTACAAAGACAGCACTGTCCCTCTGCTTCCCCCCTGCGGGCGGAGAAGATGGCGTGCGCCACCTGAGCTGCCAAAGACATTTGTGGAAGGGGCAAGGCAAGAGGCTCTTCAGCGATGCTGATCCTTCCATCAGAGGACTGGCAGAGCTGTGCATGTGTAGGTGGCAGTTAACAGGGGTACCCTGCTGAGCGTGGGCGACCCAGGGCTGCGAGAATGGCTACAAACGGACGTGCATCGGCCCCAGACAAAGCTGCTTGCATGGCACCCGCACGCCGAGTCAAGACTTTTTGCTGTACCACTTTGGTTTTTTTTTTAAATTATTATTTTCTTTTTTAAAGTATGGGTTCCTTCATGTTACAGTAACAGTTTTCTGAAACTGAATGAGCCAGGATGAAGTCTTGGCTATCCTCTGTTGAGAAGCAGAACTCCTGCTGATTTTGATACTCCAGAATTTGTATCATTGGAGAACTATAATATTTCATTGTATTTCTTCAGAAACCGTATTTCTAAGGGAGCTATTATTTTGTTTTCCTTCAAGTAGAACAGAGAAATTATAGCTGTGGAATAAAACCAAAAATTCTCTTCCCTCTTTAACCAAAAAATAGTAACAATTACTTTTGTCTTAGTTATCTTTATTGGGTCACCTGCTGCTGCCTACCACATGGTTGTGCATGTGCTGCTATAGGCCGCAGCTCAGTTAAATAACTACTGTAGCTCAGACAGAAACAGTCTTTGAGAAATGTGGTTTGTCAGCCTCTTCTGACATGATTTTCTTAACCCCAGTGAGCTGCTGCCAGATGTGTCTAGTGATCTTGCCTTTACTTAACAAGCTGAAGAGAAACAGGGGAGAATGGGGTAGCTCTCCTCTGTGTTTCAAAAAGCAGGCTACAAACACACAACTCCTGTATGCATTGGGTCCTGTGTACTTAAATACAAGCATCATGACTGTCTCCTTGTAATACACATATTTAGTACGGATTTTTTTTTTTTTTTTTTGGTTTGAGAGTTACAATGATTTGAAAGAGCACAAATTTAATGTGACTGGTTTTGGTATTCAGGTTGTATGTACAAACTGCACTATACTGTACTTTTTGTAAACTAATGTAAGTAGACGAGAAGATTGTACAACGTGTAGAGCTGCCAACTGTAAGAAAAGAAAAACTTTTCATAAACTGAGAATATATTGATTTTTCTTCCCCCTTTTTTTTTTTTTTTTAAATAACCCCAAAACACCAAAGTCAGAGCAATCATTTTGAAACAGTCAGTACTTACCACTATTTGTTAGATTGCTGATATAACATGAGTTTTGTTGCCCATTCACTGAACTAGCTGGGTGGAAGTGGCTAGTTGGTGGTCACTTTGTGTTCCCAGTCATTCACAAGAGCAAAAGAAATTGCTTGGGGCGGGGGGGGCGTTATCTTTGCATAAACACACTGCCTATACTTTTTCCATTTCTTTGTAGTGTAATAATGGACTTAAATCTGCCTATGTCAAGTCCTAAGAGGTAGTTCACTTTAAATGGCACCCACATTGTTCATGGGGAAAAAAAATGTTTTGATTGTAAGATAAGTATTGCATATGTGTTGGTTGTACACAGATTTTTTGCAATGCCCAATGGCTCACTGTTTCTATGGTGACTTCATCATACACATTATCCATTTCTCTTACTCATTTAAATTGGTTTTGATTTGTACATAGTCCATTTAGTCTTTTCATCTTTATATAAACGGAAATTATAGAATACATAATAGATCAAGATGCTTAATTTTTAAGAACTTATATTTGTAAAAATTTCTCTATTGTGAATAAAGTCTTTTAATATATCTGTTCAACTTGTTATAATTTTTCTTTAAGTGTGTTGCAGAAGTAACTACAGGAATCTGCTGCATAGTCTGGTTTGGCTGCTATAGTCAAGAATTTTTGTCAGCAGATTGAGTTGAGACAGATTAGTACTCTGTGTACTTATTAAGATACTATTGTTAATTAATGTTAGTCAGTGTATAGAATTGTTACTACAGAAATAAATTCCTAGAAATTTTTGTCAATAAAATTCATCCTACCAAATGCATTTTGGTAGAAAGTGAGCTTGCTAATGAAAAGCGGGAAGCTGGGGAGTCAGAGGTGGCAGGCAGTAAGCACAGTGAAGGTCAGTCACTCCAATTCATGTTCTGCACAACACGAGCAGGCTTCAGCTAAATGCCATTTAGGAGCAAACACCAGAGCGGAGATGACAAGGCTGTCACAGTGCCCAGCGTTACATGATCATGTAATGAAACACTATCATTAGTCCATGCTCCAGAGGAGAGGGGAACAGTTGTCATAGGAACTGTAACTACATTTTGTATTGGAAGGACGTGTCAGTAAGGTCTCCAATCTAAATATTGAAATAACATCTATACCGCCTCGATAACCTTGTTTTCTCTATGCAGGAGAAAGCCTCATCCAAAGAGGACAGTGAAATAAACTGCTGTGATTTTACAGAACAGTCTTGGTAGTACCAATTTTGGTCAAAAACTTGCTCGTTAGACCTGCTTAAGTTATTTTTGAGGGTAGCTCTTAGATCTGGGGGTCTCATTTTTCCAGCATCGTTGTGCAGCTACACAGCGCAATGCTTGGAGTAGTCAGCAGGCAATCCTCTCCTGTGGCTGGCTCCAGGACCACACAAAGTGCTGCTCGACAAGTTAGACATCAAGTAGTACAAACCTTAAGTGCAGCACATTATTCACAAGATATGCAAGTACAAGCCTGGGATGGAATTTCAACCAGTTAATTGGTTGTTTTCTGCAGGGGAAAAAGGAACTAGGACTGAGTTGACAATTAGTCAAGACAAACAGGATTTGCCCCGCCATCTGCATTGCCCTATGGCCTTGCTCACAAGAGAAACTCGGCACTCATATGACAGCATCTGCTATGGAAACAGACCTTCATCTGATCTGCCTTAATCCTGGGATTAGTCTGTTCTGGTTGATCTCAAATGCAGGAGGAAAGATTATGCATCAAAAAGCAGTCTGCCAAACCCAGGAAATGGTCACCGAGACTGAGAGTTCACGAATACTGCAAGAAGAGATAAACCGCAGGGTTTTGCTCTCTCCTGGTTTTGCGCATTCATGTGTGCACAAAGTGGTGGACAGGGCAAGTCACACAGCTGCAGAATCCAGCCGGAGCCCAGCAGGCTGTTAGCATTCAACAGTACCTCAAAGCCAGCAGGCTGACCCTCATTTCTCAGGTATCTGCTCCTCTATCTGCACCAGCTCTCACCCACTCTGTAACTAAAGATCACCATAATCAACCTTCCCTTTGGAAGCCCCTCTTTAAAACTTTCACACACTCCCCAGACTTTCTCTGCACACTTTGTGGAAGGTTGTTTGCCTTTCACTGTTCCCATGCAGACATTTTACAGGACATTAAAGACCCCTCTCGTTGATATTTTATCCCCTCACTTCATGGTGTTGCTTTCACACCATCAGAATAGCACAGAGCTACTACTAGTCTTCAGCACCTCCAGCTAAAAAAAAAAAATATAAAATTGTCAGTACAACTTTATTATACTGTCACATTCTGGGCATTGATTCAGCGCCCAAGGAGCACTACCCTATGACAAGGGGACTTGCTGGTACTCCAGAAGATCAGAGAGTCATTATGGTTGGCAACACACAACAAAAGAGACCAAAGTTATTCCAGCCATGGGGGGGATAGTTGAAGGATTTCGATGCTGCAAATGGTGATCCTACAGCAATGGTAGGTTACATGA